GAGAGGAGGAGGAGGGACGTGAGAGGAGAGGATGCGTGAATGGGGAGTGAAGCAGTGGGCAGGGGAATGAGTAGAAAATTATGCAGGAAGCGAACGAAAGGAGAGGAGAGGCTGCAATGAGGTAGGGGGCCACAGAACGAAGAGAACGACGAACACTTGGGAGAGAGGAGCATGCATGGGGCAAAGAGCGAGGAGTGAGGAGAAGAAGTGACGAGGAGGAGGAGGAGGAGGAGTAGTGAGAAGCAGAAGTCCACTCAAGGAACAAAGGAGTTTAGGAGGAGCAATTACCCGCAACCAGACGAAACGATGCATGGCTGCGCAAGCTGCTCCGTAGACGAAGGCGAAAAGGAAGAGGCAGACAAAGGAGAACAACATCTGAGGCCAAATAAGGAGGAGAAAGCAAAGGAAGAGGATATTGCCTCAAGCTCGCTCCTGTCGAGGCGACTCTTGGTGTACATCAGATATGCATGCCTGCACCGGTAGTTTCAGGAAGGACGACGAGGCAGGGCAGGAGGGGAGAGGAGGGATAGGGGAGGAGAAGGAGGAGGAGGAGGAGGAGGAGGGGGGGGGGGAGGATTGAGGGATAAGAAGCGAACCAACTGTGACTCATCTCACCTTGAAAACATCATGGCGGAGTGAAAGAAGAACGGGTGGAGGAAGGAGTGAAAGATCATGGGGGATATCAAGACGTTGCAAACGCACAAGAACTGAATCGATTCCCACTCCCTACTCGACACATTCTCCACGATATGTACAAGATAGAGGATCGTCATTGTCCATGGAAGGAAGCGAGGTGCCCAGTAGTTCCACATGGCAGGTTTCTTCATCTTCAAGAACGCAATCCACAAGAACCCCCGGACAAGCCGAAAGAGGAGGAACTTGTCCGAGGTAGTGAAGCCGTCTGACTGCATGTACCGCAAGACACAGGCCATGCAGCTCTGGAAGATGATAAGAGCGATCTGGAGACAGCAATATTAGCGGCTGATCCTCCTCCTCCTCCTCCTCCTCCCCGCGCTCACAAAGTATGGCGTGTACGACTCAATCCTTGCTATCATGCAATCACGATAGTACGCCTGGAACTTGTTCTCCTGTCACAGTGGTCAGCAGCTGGTTCGGGTCTTTTGCATCATCACAAGCAGCTTGTCTTGAATCCCCCAGCATCCCAGGAAGAACAAGCTCTTGACATCAAGAATTTGTTGCTCTGACAACACAGCGTTATGTTTGCATACACCATCAAGCCATGCTTACCCCTTCGAGGATTCTCATCCGACATGGCAGGAACGAATCCGACAGAGTGAGAGTTCAACTAATGTGACTTGATATGATCCAACTGTTGCAATCTAGGATCTAAACGAGCTCATCACACTGGCTCAGGCAACATTGGCAGTGATCCTATCACAAGTCTGTAGCCATTCCTCTTGCCTTTGGACGTGTCCCACGGAAACTGCAAGTTGCCGTCAAAGATGTTTCAAAGCAGTGCAGAAGATCATTGTTGATTGCGACAAGCACGCCACAGGCTAAAATGGCTGTAACCATTCTTGATCCTCGTTTCTTAGGACATTCCTCTTGATGAGATACATTCATTCTAATAATCCATTCTTCGATCTTTTCTACACTGACTTGCCTCTTGCACCGGATACCTTCTGGAACTCTCCTCCTACCACATGTTTTACGGAAATCTTTCAACCATCGACATGAATCCATTCCCTACTTGAGCACTTGTTCTTACCCTGATTCTCTTGCTCCTGTTCTCCTCCTTGCGAGGAATGTCATCTCATTCATCCTTTCTGCATCTATCGCCTGAAACTCAGCCATTCCTCTCCCTCTCTCCGCTGCTGCCGCCATCCGGCATTGTCATTTGATGTCTGTCGCCATTGGAATGAGCTTTCGCGTCCTCGTGAAAACCAAGGGGGTGGGGTGTCCAAGTACACATCAGTACCGGTTATTTTCAGGACATAAAAAGGGGTAGGGGTACCATGGGATTTACTTGGTGTACTTTCAACTTGGGGACCACACCGGTAGTTCGGTCAGTAGGGGGCAAAGGGGAGAGGGAGGGGTATGGGAACATCTTGGTGGGTAGGGGTAGCCTACAAACAGACATTTACCCGTACTTAAGAGTGGATACGATAGGGGATGGATATGATTGTAAGGGGTAGTAGATGGTATTTTCAGGGTCGGAGGCCTAAGGGCACATTGGAACCTGGGAGTAAGGGGGTGGGGGTACTTATCACGGCCTTGTCAGCCTAGTAGACCCTTGATCACGATACCTATCACGTTACTTCAACTGAAGTAACTAATGTTTTTTATGGATACACAGGACCCCACCCACACATTTCCTTTATACTGCACCTACTACTACCCCTCACTTTCACAACAGAATTCCATCGACATCAAGTACTTTGGCACCACCCCTACCCACACGAAGCAGGGTTGGGTTGGGAGGCGCTACAATTATTTAGTTAAGTAGTAATTTTGGTAGGGGGAGGGTGGTAATCATTGCACGGCCTATTGTGCAGTCGGATTGAAATGGACAGGAGTCGTCGAGCGACGAGAAACGATGGAGGCGGCGGTAGGAAGAGGAGTAGCAGGAAGGGGACGATGTGCAGGAGGAGGATGAGGAGCAACAGCAAGAGCAGGGGCAAGCCAGGAGCAGGGGCAGGGGCAGGGGCAGGGGCAGGGGCAGGGGCAGGGGCAGGGGCAGGGGCAGGGGCAGGGGCAGGGGCAGGAGCAGGAGCAGGAGCAGGGGCAGGAGCAGCTGAAAAGGAGGAAACATGGCGCGCCCGTTTCTACTAATGTTTGGAAAAAAGGTAGAACATGCGGAACTATTTCTTCCGAGCATGGCCGAAATGCTGTCACGGTCAACAGCGAGGGGTGCAGGTACCCTGGAGATGTGCTGGCAGGAGGTGGATCAGGTGAAGATGGAAAGTGTTTGTTCCCATGGTCACTATGATCGCAGCGGGAGTGGCAGTGACCAAAGAGTCTATAGAAGAGAAGATGTAGAGGAGAAAGATGAGAGTATAGAAGAGAAGATTCGACGCAACACCAAGGTAGATCTTCCCTCGCGCGCTGCTCTCCTCCTGTTCTGATGGGGTACATTGCAGACAGCATACATCCGCGAGCTCCATCTCCGTCTCCATCTCATCACTCCTGAATGCGCTGCGTGGACAAGTTCACCAAGGGACTGTGTGAAGGCAACTGAAGTGGATTCATGGGCGATCGCAGCGATCGGGATGAACGCTCAGCTGAACCAAGTCGAGCATGTACAAGTGAGAGACGCTGGCAGTGAGAGGCAGTCTTGTGTGATCGACTGTGATGGTGCAGGCAGAACATGCAGATGTGGTGGGGAGGAGCAGGAGGGAACTTGACATGCCGGACTTGATCTTTGCAGGTCTTCATTTGGTTCCCTGCTGTGTTGTTTGATGCTGAAGGGATGCGAAGGCGATGTCATGTACGAGCAGGAGCTCGCGCGGCACGTAGGAGGATGGCTGATGAGTCTGAAGGAAGAAGGATGTCGAGTGTTGGTCGGCGATCCCGGGTAATGACCATAGAGCCTTGTCCTCCTCCTTCACTTCCTCGCTCCCTTTCCCTCCTCGTCCTCCCTCCCTCGTCCTCTCCCCTCTCCCTTCTTCAATTCCACCTCACCTCACCCTCCCCTCGTTCTTCTCCTCTCCTCCTTCCGCCGCCCCTGCATCTTGCTCCCTCTCCTCTCCTCACTCTCTACAGGAGATTCTTCCTAGACAGGTCAAGGCTGCACCCCACTGCTGCCTTCCAGCTGCCCGAGGTACCCGCGTTCTTCTCCTCCGCTCCTTCCCCCCTCTCCCCGCCTCCTGCTCGCCCCGACAGCTGATGCTCCGGCAGCTTGTGCGGGAAGGAAGCAACGGTTTCGAGGAGGCGAACGTATGGGAGTTCAGAGAGAACTGTTGAGCTAAACTAGCAGCGGGCCGGAGCTCCGGGCGATGCCGGAGGCCCCCGATCACTGAGAGAGGGATCGATAGGATTCACAAATGTGAGTTTTCTTGTTGACATGTTGTATCGTGATGAAGAGAGAAACATCGATGATGCTACAAGACCTTCTGCCTTCCTCTTTCCTCCTTCATCTCTTCTCCTCTCCCCTCCTCCCCGTTTCCTCTCGTAGCCTATCCGCCATCGACGCCTCCACTGCATGCTGACAATGAAAGTCTCCTGCTGCTGCTCCTGCCGCCGCTGCCGCCGCTTCAGTCGTCTTCCTCCATGACGATCACGTCCTCATCGTCGTCGTCGTCATCTAGATCGTCCTGCTCGACAGATATTAGGGTCGCAAGGACGGCGGAGAGGAAAGGAGCAGAGAGCAACGGATGGGATGCGGAGGGTTTTTGGGTCAGCAGATGCAGCAGAGAAAACAGGAAGGAGCGGAAGATTTGGGACAAACATGTAGAGAAGAGGGTATAGGAGCGCATGAAGGATGAAATTGGGGCGAAGGACTAGAATATCAAGGAAGAGCAGGAGCAGGAGCAGGAGCAGGAGCAGGAGCAGGAGCAGGAGCAGGAGTAGAAGCAGGAGCAGGAGCAGGAGCAGGAGCAGGAGCAGGAGCAGGAGCAGGAGCAGGAGCAGGAGCAGGAGCAGGAGCAGGAGCAA